AATTGTGGTACTTATGAAGGTGTTTAGCACTGGACAGTATGCATAACATGTATTGATCTGACCATTTTGGCTCTCGTTTAGTCCATATATTATAATATAGATTCATTTGACATGATTTTACTGTTACCAAACAATTTGCATGCTAAATATTTTAATGTTTAATTAGGTAATTGCCTTAATAGGGTAAAACCCTATTCCTGTGCAACAATTTGCAACATGTTGCTATTTGAACAATATAATATTTGCAAAGTGCAAGTTTGAATCATGTTCAATTATTTCTAGCAAAGTATTCAATAATTTATTAGTAGTATTAAAAGAAATGGTTTTAATATTCACAGTAATCGTAATATTGTTAATAAATGACTAAAATTTGAAAAACATTTGGTTTAATAAATGAAATAATTGTTTGCATTTGAATAGCGACTGATTTGTGAGTTTATATGTGAAATAATCATTGGATGAGAGGATGGTTTCAAATCAACCGCAATATCGACTCAAATGGAATAGCTTTCACTCGAATCTGTCGGAAGTGTTTCGGACAATGTTAGTGAACGAGAATTTGGTGGACTGTACGGTGGCGTGCGATGGGGCGAGCATTAAGGCACATAAAATGGTGTTGGCCGCCAGCAGTACATACTTTCAAAACCTATTTATTGCCAATCCATGCAAACACCCCATCGTTATACTAAAGGACGTGAGATTCGCTGATTTGCAGTCAATCATTGATTTTATATATACCGGTGAAGTGAATGTACCTCAGGATCAGTTGAGTTCACTGCTTAAGACGGCCGAAACCTTAAGAATCAAAGGACTCACTGAAGTCGCGGACAAGGAGTCAAAAAGTCAGCATTTGGTGCAATCGATTGCAATGAAAACCAAAAAGAGGAAACGAAAGCGAAATAAGTCACAAAATAATAATGAAAATGTCTACTCCAGTGAAGAAGAAGAGAGAATTACTAGCGTTAATAATTCAAGAATTGGAAACCATTTATTTAATTATAGTAATGATTTCATTAATAGTGAGAAACAAAAGTTAACCGCAAATGTCAGTACATTTTGTAATAAAAAGAAGAAGAGAGAATTACTAGCGTTAATAATTCAAGAATTGGAAACCATTTATTTAATTATAGTAATGATTTCATTAATAGTGAGAAACAAAAGTTAACCGCAAATGTCAGTACATTTTGTAATAAGAATAGAGAATTAACTGTAAATTTAGAGGAAGATATCGAACCGATAAAACTCTTGGAACAATCCATGTCTACACCAGAAGTAAATATTTGTTTGTGACGATTAGAGTAACACATGAATAACACTTTCAATTGACAGAACTCTCGACTTGAATGTGCAATCGATGGCTCTTTAGCCACATCTGAAACTAACTTAGATCTTGAAGACGGCGAAGACAATGGTATTCATTAATAATTGCTGTAATTGTCATACATTCATATTGTCTTATTGTAGAATTACAAGAAATTCCGTTAATGGATGAGAATTGTTCACAAGACAACTTTAATCAGTTTAAAGGCTATTCAATTGATAACCATTTAAGGGTCGGTTTAAATAGTAATTGTGCGGCGCCTCAAACCATTGAAGGTATTTGGATTATAAATTGTAAATTCTAACACATAATTCTAATTGAATACAAATATCATGATTGGGTATAGAATACGAGCAGTTATTGTCTGAAATCCAATGCAACAATTTGACGACATGTCCGGTGTGTGCGAAAGTGTTCATCAAGAAGTCGAAACTGATCCGTCACTATCACACGCACTTC